CCAAGCTTCTCCTTCACCCAGAAGTCTTTGTTGGCAGATGATGATGTTTGGCTTTCAAAAATGAGGTTTCGTTTTTTAAAGCTGCTTTTATGCGGTTTCTGTTTTTGGTTGTTTGGGTTTTTTGTTTTGTTTTTTTGCTTTTTTTTTTTTTTTTTTTTAATCCTGGAGTCGCTTAGCTGTGGCCTGTTTAACCTGCCCACCCCCACCCCCCAAAATGCAATGAAGAGAGCACTCTTTTGGGGGTGACCGAAACAGCATCTAAGGCCACGGGTGGATTTGGTAAAATCGAGGTGGAAAAGACTGGAACGGTGTGTCATGAGGCAGAAAAAACCCTCTGACACAGGCTTTTATTCACGCAGCGGGGGCAGTTTCAGAAGTAAACGCCCTAGGGTCTCACTGTGAGATTCTGGATGGCAGGCTTGTTTGCGCCAGATTCCGGACGGGTCAGAAACCCGCCTGGCTCCAGTAATCCAGCCCTTGAGCCGCCAGCCGGGCCTGCTGCTCCGTCGGCAGCGGCTGAGAGGTTGGTTCTCTGAGTAGACATGTGAGCAGCAGAGGCAATGATTATTATTGTGGTTGGAAATGTGTGCATGGCATTTACAAAGTGAAACAGCCTTCCTCTTCTTCTTCTTCTTCTTCTTTTTTTAAAAGCAGTGATAGAATTTTCCTTAAGAGTAAAAAAGGAACGCTGTGCCTGATGCCTTTGGCTCCTAACGCTGGGGCTGGGTTTTTTTTCGGTGAAACGCCCTTTCTTGATTCTGGGATCTCAGATGGCAGGAAGAGCATTTAGCTGAAATATTTACCTGCTGATTTGGGGCTCTTAAATCTCGATTCGCCTTTCATGTGTTTAACGGCGATATTTACATTCAAATCAGCCTTTTATAATTACATTTTAAATTATAATAAAATGATGGTGCCCGGCTTCAGTCTTCCTTATACGTTTTTTAGCAGAGAGACGCTGGCCCGAGTGGCGTGCGGGTGCACATCACGTCACCCCGAGCTGCCTGGGCTTCTGGCCCGCGGGGACTTGCGTGTGTCCTGAGCATGTCACGGGCAGCGCGTGTCACCTGTGGAGCCTTCCCCGCCCTGCCAGGAGGAGGACTTGTGTCTGGGGATGCTGGCCCTGGCTGACACAGCGGCGATGCTGCCAAACCTCACGCCGGAGGGTTCCAGCCCAGAAGGGCCTGATCGGGCCCTGCCACCTGCCGGAGGTGCTGTGTCCTGAGCCCCACGCTGGGCTGGAGGCCATTAACTCCCGGGCGGCCGGCTGGCACAGCAGAGGCCGCTTCTGCTGCGTGATCGCGTGTGCGAGGGTGCGGTGTGTGTCGGGGTCGCGCCACCCGCCGCCTCCCGGCCGTGACCCAGCTACCGCCTGGTGTCCTCTGTCAGGGGCCAGCCCCAAAATGGCCACCTGGTTTCCAGCGGCCTTCCCCGTGGAGCGTGGGGGGACCCTCTCCTCCCGGGGGCCCGGCTGTTGGCAGCTGTGCCAAGCCGTTCCTGGAATGGAATTCCCGGCGTTCCTGGTCAGGCGCGTGGCATCGGAATCCTACCTGCTTTGTCTCTGGCATCAGCTGGCGGGCTGGTCACGTGGTGGTGTGCGTGAGACCAGAGCCCGAGGACCGGAGGGCCCCTCCTGGGCGGCCTCCTGGTCGCTCAGTCGCCGTGCCGGCCCCCCTCCTCCGCGGGCACGACCGCATCGGAACCTGGGCTCCCGTCCCCCGCTGCTCGGGCGTCCAGACAGCCCCTGACCCCAGTCATCACCGACAGGAAGGCCTGCGAGCGGGACTGCAGGCCCAGCCCAGCCACTCCCTGCAGGGCCGGCCCTGCCGGCCGGGGAGCCCCTGTGTCACACGCACAGCCCTGGGGCTCAGCCACCGCAGGGGCACGGGGCCTGGCCACATAAAGGGCTGAGGGACAGACGCGGGCAGACGGTGTGGCCACACGGATGTGGCCCGGATGCCTCCAGCAGGGGACAGCCAAATGTGATCAGTCTCCAAATAAAAGCACCACGTGAACCCCTCAGGCCGCTGACGGGTCCAGGGCCAGGGCTGGGCTCGCTCCGCCTTGGGGCTGAGGGGGTGGCCAGGATTGGCTTTGGTGGCAGCTGAGAAGGTGTGGGGCCGGCCTGGACTCTGGACGCCCGTGCCCTCGCGGGCAAGGCCAGCAGCTCCCAGGTGCCCGCCCCTCTGTGTGCATCTCTCACTCTGTCATCCGGTAGCCCCCAGCAGTAGGAGCTGTTCTATCCCCCGTTCCTTCTGTGGATGGGGAAACTGAGGCCCGGGAGCTGGTGTGGTGCAGGGTCGGGCGGCCACGTGGACACAAGGCCGACCCCGAGCCCTGGCATGGACTCTGGGCCCGGATGGCACGGCCCCCCCCGCCGGGGAGGCATCCCCTGGAACGGGCTCGCGGGGAGGCCTGGGGCCCAGGGAGCTGTTGGGGGGGGCCCCCGCCGGGGAGCCCGCCGGGCGCTGGCCGCCGCCGCCCCGCTCCTCCTCGGGCCAGCGCGGGAACAATGCGGCCTCTATGCCCGGAGCGGGCCCGGGCTGCCCGGACTCCGGAGCAACATGGCGCCCAGGCCGCGCCGCCTGGCCCCGGGGAGGGCTGGCGCCTGGGCCGGGCCTGGGCCGGGCCGGCTCCCCGGCCTCCTCGGGCCAGCCGCTGAGTGGCCAGCCGCGCCTGCTGCCTCCGCCCTCTCCCGCCTCCCCCTGCCCGGTGGTGGGTTTGGGGGTCCGGCCCACCCGCCTCTGCCACGTCTGCCATCCTCCCGGCACCCAGGAGCATCTTTCAAAAATTCCCGGTGGGCGGGGCCGAGCCGCAGCGGCCGCCTCTGGCCCCCCCTCCCCGGGCAGCCAGTGCCAGATGAGAGCAGGAGACAAAAGTAGCATTTTCCTCGTCCTCCTGGGCTGGCAGCAGAGCCTCCCCCAGCACCACTTGGCTCCTGGCAGCCCTGCCTCCGGGGGCCGGGGTGGCCGAGGCCCAGGCCGCGGCGGCTGAGACTGGGGCACCGATGGCCGAGGGTGGCCGGGGAGAGCAGGACGTCTGCGGGCCCGGCGGCGTGGGGCTGGCACCTGGGGACGGCCTGCTGGCCGGCGGGACCCCCCACCCCCCGCGGTGCCCGGCCTGGCCAGGGGGCACCGTGGGCACGTCCTTGCGTTGGAGAAAGCTCCTCAGCCTCCTGCACCTTGGGTAAGTCACCTTCTTCCCTTCTCCCCGGCTGGAGACAAGCCGATGGCTCTGCCATCTTGTGCTGGGTGCCTGTTACGTTTCCTTGCCTCTAATTGGTTATCCGAAATTCAAAATTCTATTTCCAACCCCCCCCCCACCCAATCTTCAGTGAAGTAATAAGCCTTTCCAAAAACTGCAGGGAAAATGCAGCAGCCAAGCCCATTTATTTTTAAGATCCAAAGCTCTAGGCTTTGGGAATCACAATAAAAATGAATGTTTGTTATTTCACAGTAGCCGTGTGTTCAATTATCATTGGAACGAGTGTTTCAGGAGGTATTAATAGGCACGGCCTGCTCGTTCCCGCTCACTCGGATTGGTTTGTCGTGGGGCGCCTTGTTATTATTATTACTGTTGTTGTTAATATTATTATTTTAATTTTTGGTGGTGCCAGGAGTGGCAGAGGGAAAAACACCAAGGCGCCCATGCTCCTCCCAGCAAACTCCTCGGCAGGCAAGGCTGGGCTGGCACACGGGAGGGTGGGTTCTGCATTGAGAAACAGAGGCCCTTTTATTTTATCCGGCATCTTTAATGCTGCCATGTCCACAGTTTAGGGATGCAGTTCTTTTCTCCCTTTCGTTTTATTTTATTTTGGGTGACGGCGGCGGGGGGGGGGGGTGGCCGGGAGAAAAAAGAAGGCTCTTTTCGGCTCCCGGCTCAGTATGGGGAAAATCTTTTAGGTTGTTTTGTGCTTTGTTTTTTTAAACACTTATTTAAGCCCGGGGATTCCGCCTAACGGTGCCATGCCCAGCTCATAACCACCCTGCCCACAGGCGGTGCATGGGGTGCACGTGGGTATGTCCAGCACACAGACCCTCGGGGGCCCTGAGTGGTCCGGGGCCGGCCTGTGCCAGATGCCGTCCCGGGTTCCCATCTGCAGGACTGTAGGCCGGGACACTGGGCTGTCCAGGGCCTGAACCGGGGCCAGCGGTGGCAGGGAGGTGGGAGTCCCTCGAAGACCTTTGCGCCCCCAGACCACACTGCCACCGGGGTCCCAAAGCTGAGCTCCGTGGTTGCCCGAGTTTCTCAGGCTGGTCCCTGACCCTTCAGAAAGGCTGAACCTTTTCATTTAAAAGGTGGATTTTACAGAGTTCAGCTCTGACTTACCTCCATCCTCTGGCAGGCTGACAAAAGCGCCCACAGATGCAGCCTGGTTTTCCCCCCATGTCTGAGGGTAGCAAGGGTCTTGATTTATGGAATATGGAAAATCGGGCCCAGAAAGTTCTAAATTGCAACCGAGAAGAAAATTCTCACGTAAATAAATCTTTGTTTTCCTAATTTGGAGGCGTTGGGCCCTGTCTGTGTGGGTCTGAGCAGCCGGCCGGGGCAGATATCACCAAACATGAAAGTGAGCTCAGCTCACACAAGGACTATCACGGCTGCTTTTGTTCGTAGATTAGACAGCAGTCGATACTGGAGGTTTGGGGCTGCAGAGACAGGCGTATAGAGCAGAGATAATTAAAACATTTTCATGATTGTGACAGCCACATTCTGCTGCTGCAAGCTGGAAGATCGTTGTACCCAAATATTTAGCAAGCACCAAATAAAACATTGGTGACAAAATACAAGTAATAGGAAAAAAACAGAGTGTCATAAATTCTAAAGTGAAAGAGTCCAGAGTGTGGAGAGGTGGGTAGGGGAAAAGGAGGGGCCCTCATGTTTAAAGAATTTATGCTTTAATAGCTGCCTGTGCCTCATCTCCAAAAATTTTATTTTTTTGGTCGAATTTGTGTAGGTGCACAGGCCTTTAATCCTAAATCCCGAAATGATGGTCACATTTCCCGAACACGACTTCGTCGTCGTCTTTTTGGAGGTAAGGGCAAGTAGCATAAAATCAATTAATTTCCATAAATGAGCATTTTCATTCTAAATTAGTAATTTCCACCGAGATCATGTTCACCTAATGGGTGTAATGTCTACGGATAACACATTTTCCAGCACACACCTTATAGAGCTGGGATGCTTATATGTGACCAGTTACCATATTTGTTTTTTAACTTGGACTGTGACATTCTGCTTCCCCCCAAATCAGGAAAATGCCGTGGAATCTTTTGTGTTGTGATTCAGACAAAATATCAGCGTTCGCCATGGCACTCAGTACTTCTCGGCAGGTTTTTTTTTTTTTTTTTTAAAGAAAGTACCACGCATAGCAGTTTTCACATCATTGCTTCTATATAAATTCCACTATAGACTGAAATTATACATTCTCACAGCACAGATGGGCTGGTCTGTCATTACGACTGCTGGGTCCTTGTTGGAACACACAGCATATTTCAATTGTGGAGTTGACAATTTCAAAGACCTGAGGTCAAAATAAACAAGTTGCATTTGTGTAGAAAACAGTCCTGGGATCCTCTCGTCCGTCCCCTGAACAACTCGGTAGAGGAGCAACCATCACTTTCATTAGATTAGAATTTAAATGTCGGTTTTCATCTTTGCCTTTGAAGGCTCCAAATGCCCTACGTTAGAGGACCTGAAATGTTTTAATTAATTACCGATTTTTATGCTGTTTGGCAGCTTGGACAGCGTTACCCCTAGATTTAAATCCAAAATTGCGGGGTTTGGGATTTGAGATCTTTGAGGTCTTCATTAAATCTCTCGCTGTTCTGTGTTGGCTTACGTAAAATCGTTTTGAGATGTTTATGAAAAATGAGATGACAAGTATTTTGCATGGTTTAAAGGTGCGTGTAAATATACCCCTTCTCCTCCTGCCTCCAAAAAAATAAAAAATAAAATAAAAACATTCAACAGGTAAATGACAAAAAGTAGCTGTAAACTTAAAAAAAAATTATCTCACCGAGATAACAAGGTGCAGAATTTATTGGCTATCATCACGCGTGAGGACAGAGAAGTTTTACAGCCACAATAATTTGCACACGGCAACTGTTTATTTTGTGAATTTGCTCATGTTATGATGTAATCCATTTGGAGGGTGATTCCCCACCGCACACCACCCCTCCCCTCATTTTGAAGTGATTGCTTCTGCTTGTCCTGAATCCCGGATGCCTACTTTCTGTGCCCTGCTCAGCCTCTGGGGCCACCTTCCTGCACCCGGGCCGGTAGCTTGCACTCGGGGCTTGTGGCTGCACCTGAACCAGACCCGGGCGCCTCCCTCTGCCGACTCCTGCAAGCTCCCGAGGCTCCTTCCGTGTGTGGATGCAAGTGCTCTATTGCGGCCTGTGTATTTTAAAGCACGTACCTGTTGGTGGAGATGTTTGGGAAAACAGGAAGACCGAAAAGTTGATGAAATTTGCCAGGGCTCATGGGAGCCGGTTTCCCTAGCGGTTCTGCTCTTGGATTCCTTTTTTTTTTTTTTTTTTTTAACCACTCCCTCCTTTCCCGTTTAGTCTTTCAGCCTATTGACCCCAGTCTTGGCATCAGACCTGTATTTACTAGCAGCCCCGAGAACACGGCACTGGGCTGGGCGCTCTCAAAGAGTAGGCAGAGCAGAGCAGCCGCCGCCCTGGGAGCCAGAGCCAGCCACCCCGCTCAGGCGGCAAAGCAGAGCGCAGACCAGCAGGAGCTCCGGCACTGAGGCCGGGCTTCACATTGGGTCGGTTTTATTTCCTGGCCGTGTTGATGGAAGGCAAGTCATTTCCGCGCTCCAGGCCCCCAGTTTCCCCACCTGTAAAATGGGGGCAGTAAGTGTCCTTCCTGGCCTCGTAGAAACACATGGAATGCACTTAGCGTGCCCCCCCGGCCTGCACAGAGTGCCCCGCACCCGCTGGGAAGCCTTGGTTCATCGCTGAGTCTCAGAAATGCCTGCCAGGCAGGGGCTAACGCAGGCTCCATTCGGCCCCAGGGAGGCACTGAGCCTGAAGCTGGGTCCCCAGATTGAACCAGCTGATGATGATCAGGGTGGGATTCAGACCCGGGCCTCCAGAGCCCGTGTTCGTGCTGCGTGTCCACGCGGTGGTCAGGTGTGGACGGTGTGCCTCGGCCGGGGCCTGTGTGCCACGGCATGTGCATGTGACGTGTGCACGCACGCGTAGTGTCCTGTGCTTTGCCTGGTACGTTGGTGGTTTGCAGAGGTGCACAGGCATTTGGAGGCACCGTGCCTGTTTGGGGCAGTGAGCCGCGGAGCCCGAGGGCCACCCCAGGGACGCCTGCCAGGCACCCCCGCCCCCCCGCCCCAGGGGTCATCTTCCGCAGCCCAGGGCCGGCCAGAGCTGGTCGGACAGGGCACCCAGCTGCCAGGCCCCTGGGAGGTGAAGGAAGGCCCTTTGGCCAGGCTGCCTACGCGCTAGGACCTGGCCAGGCACGGTGCGCTCTCCTTGGAGGGGCGGGCTGTTCCAGGCACCGGCCATTTGCAAACTCTGAGGAGTAGAAGTGAGCCTGTGGGCCTGGGAGAGGAAATGGCGGTGCCGGCAGGCCCAGAACAGGATCCGGGAAGGCGGCCGAGGCAGGGGAGCGGCCGGAAGGCCCGGGTGGGCCGGTTGGTGCGCGGGCGGCCCTCCTGCAAGAGGCGGCCAGCAGGGCTAGTCTTCCCGGGCAGGGCTGCGTGTGTGCACGTGTGCACCTGCGTGGGGGGCTCGGGCCGCCGAGCGGCCACCCAGAAGCTTTAGCAGCCCAGCAACCTCGTGGGACCTGGTGGGCATCGGGGGCATTTGATGAGGCCGGTGAATGCCCAGCACACCTTTGATCCCAAAAAGCCTTGATGAGAGTGGTATTTACCACAGGCCTCGGTTCTCTGTCTTTAAAGTCAACATGGCCGCATCAGACTCGGGAAATGGTCAGACAGGTCAGATGAGAGCCTGTCTGGGAGGCCCGGGTGGTTCGGGTGTCCCCTCAGTGGGGCCGCCTCTTAGGTGGAGACCAGAGGCCTGGCCTCTCAGGTGAGCTGCCTACCCATCCCAGCCTCAGTTTCCTTGTCAGTAAAGCAAGGAGATCAATCCCACCACAGGTTTCTCGTGGCATCCGTGGTGATGTCACTCACCATTCATCCCTCCTTGATGGGGAGCAGCGGGTGGGCCCTGGGAAAGGGTCCCCAGCCTCTGGTCCTCAGGACTCTGGCTCCTGGGTTTCTTGAGGGGCCAGTAGGGAGGTAGAGGCCAGGCCCGCAGACCCTGAGAGGGGAGCCGCCAGGGGAGCCGCCGGGGGAGCACGTGCTGGGGAACCTCTGGCCCAGTTTCCTGGGAGCCCGGCCCTGCCCCAGGATTCCTGCACTGGGTGTGCCCGCACTTCCGGCCCAGGCGTGGGCGGAGGGGTCCTGGAGGCAAGAGGAGTTCCCGCCGTTCTCACCCGCCAGAGCCTCCCGGTTGTGCAGCTTCTCTCAGCTCGATGGGACGAAGACCTTCACCTGAGCGTGGCATGTGGCATCAGGCAGGAGGCCCCCCACCCGCTGGCCATGCACAGGCACACGCGACATGGAGGTGGCTGCCTGCAGCCGCAGCGCCGTGGGGCCTGACGCGGGGCAGAGAAGGTGCCCTCCAGCCTGAGCCTCTGTGGTTACGGTCACCCGAATATTAAGTTGCCTGTTGCCAAGACCTTTGGAGGTGCTCGGCACCTGATGGGTGGGCCTCAGTCCTGGGCGCTCCAGCGCCAGAGGTGAGCCCCGTGCCCCAGGATGCAGTTGTGCTCAAATGGCCAAGCCCCGGGGCTGCCCACCCCGCGTGGCAGTGCCGGCGGTGGCTCTGGGAAGCAGCTCCTTGGGGAGGCCCTCTTGGCCCAGGCAGCATGGCAGGCCAGCACAGCCTTCGGGATACCACGGGGGAAAGGATCGGCTGCCCCAAGGGAGGGTCAGTGCATGTCTGAGGCCACACGCACGACCTGGTTCCTTGGGGTTTGGGGGACCAATCCTTTGTTGACCTACTAAGCGCCATGCTCAGGGCTGCATACTTTGATTTACCCCCCCCCCCCCAGCTTTTTTAAACATCCATTTTATGATGCAGTCGGCCTCATTCTACTTCATCTAACGTCCCGTCAGGGCCAGCGTGTGTCCGTACTGCTTTGGGGCTGGAACGTGGTGCAGACAAGATGGCTGCGGGCCCTGCCCATGTGGAAGGTGTTAGTGGTTTGCTGTGTGAGAAAACCAAGGCTCAGAGAGGCTAGGGAGCATCGCCAGAGCCACACAGCTTGGGAGTAACAGCCTGGAGCTGAAGCAGGTCTCTGGGTGCAGGCCCTACGCTCTCCCCACGCCGTCCCCACGCTAGTGGGAACAGCTGGATGGAAGACCCCTTTCTGTTGTGGACGGGGTCATGGATGCTGACCTTGGTGGGTTCCCAGACACGCAGGGCCAGGATGGAGTGCTTCTGCCCGAGGAGAGAACCAAGATTGCCTCCATTGCTTCCCTCCCAGGGGCCATGTTGTGCTGGTTCTGAGGGGGCTCCCAAGGACCCATCTCTGGCTGGGTTGCCGGTACCCCAGCATCTGGGGCCTGCTGGTGGGGCCCGCAAAGCCCCCATGCCCTGCTGGGGCAAAGGCTTCAGGCCTCTGTGTGCTGGCTGGCCCTGGACGGTGCGCGGCACGGCAGCAGGTACTAGGAATGGGTGAGCCAGGATGTCATCCTTGCTCTCAGTGCTCCTGCAGCAGGGAGTCGTACCAGGTAGCGGGCCCAGGTGGCCTACGGCTTTCCGCCCTCAAACACTGGGGATAAAAGCCTTTGGGAGATACTGTGAGAACCTGGAACAGGCAAGACCGTTTTGGAGCCTTTCATGTTCTTAAAATGGCCCTTTCTGCCCTGTGCCAAATTCACAGCCTTGCACTGGGCCGGGAGCCTGCGGTGTAGGTGACCAGCCGGGGGTTTTTTGCAGGTTCTTCATGTGGGGGCTGGCTGTAGACAATGCCATGCACCTGACGGGCCTGGACCCCTTTCTCATGGAGATACTCATACCTTGTGCTGAGGCGGACAAGGTGGGCCAAAGGCACCTGTGAGGCCTGCTCCGCAGCAGGGGTCTCAGCTGGAGGGGGGATCCCTCAGGTCAAGGCTGGGCAGAGGTGCTGAAGTACGACGTACAGGCTGGGATAAGCTCCCGTGAAAGCAGCTCTCTGCAGGCAAACGGGACAGGGTCATGTTGTTGGAGGAACCCTGCCCTGTCCGTCCATGTGGCCCCCTCTGTGGCACTCGTGTCCCCGATCCCGTGAGTTGTGCCCCAGCGTTGCTCAGAGCTCGTCTGATTCTCGAGGGCCCCTCTCAGAGAGGCTAGGGAGCCTGCTCTGGGCAGGCCCTGGCTCGGGGTCCAGCAGGAGTCAGCACCATCCAGTGACTGGATCAGGCCGCTCTTGTCAAGTCCTGGGTCCTCTGCTAGAGGGCGAGAGCCAGGACACGGCGTCCTGTCCGTCCCCCGCTCACAGGCTCGGGGACCTCACTTAGCAAACACGGGTGCCCTCCAGGAGGCCCGGACCTGTTGGTGCTGGTGGGGGGTGCTGGGCCCAGCCGCACAGGGAGCAGAAAGTTCGCCAGGAGCACCCAGCGCCCGCCCAAGGAATCCAGGAGGCCTCCCGGAGGTGGTGGACTCAGCCATGGGCTCGTCATTGCCTCCAGCCCGAGCCTGCCACGTCCCAGGGCCCTGCTGCCAGGCGAGCGCCGCCCCTCCCGCCAGCCCTGCACAGGCCACATCTGCTGTGGCCGCTGAGCCAGAGCTCCACCTCCCGGGCTCCGTCCCCATGGAAACCACGGGGGGGGGGGTTCCTGCTGCATTTGGCCCGCTGACTGGTTTCCATTAGAGCCAACCTGCTTTCCTTGAGGTTCACAGCTTCTCCCCGAGCTTGCTTTCGCACATACTGAGCGCCAGCCTTCAGTGCCCTGGGCCATGGGACCACCAGGCGGAGAGAGGGCCCACGGGGCCTGAGACGATGCCCCGCGTCCCCCGCCCCACGCAGGGCCGTGGCTGCTCTTACCTTGGCCGGCTGTGGGCTCACATCCTGTGCTTCCTTGCCCAGAGCCCCCCACCGGCTCCATCCTGGCTGAGCCATAGAATCACCGCGTGTGCAGCTCTCAGGAAGCCCCTTCCTCCGTCTGGGCCTCAGTTTATCCATCTGTAAAAACTAGAGGGTTCAACGGTTTCTCCAGGTGCTTGGCTGTGCCAAACAGGAGGCCAGAACAAAACCGAAAATGAAGCGGAGGCACAGCCAGCTCTCCCGGGGTCACCATTCTGGGGCTTTTGTTTGTTTTCGAAGAGGAATTTTTTTTTTTTCAAGGGAAGGAGTCATGGAATTTGAGCAGAGATGGCTGTTGGAGCGCCAGTTGGAGCCTGTGGGCCCAGGGCTTGGGAAGGCCCGGGCAGCTGTGCCCGCAGGCTCCACCTGGCATCTGTGGGATGCCCAGTGACCTGGCTGTGAATGCTTTGAGCAGAGGCATGAAACGTGCCCGTGACAGAGTCCAGAGAGCTCTGGAAAAGTACCCGGGAGGCTTCCGGAGGTCAGAAATGTGGGCAGAAAATGAGATCCAGATTTAAAAAAAAAACCCGGCTGGCTCATCCCCCCGGGAGGGAGGCCTAGGAGAACATTGCCGCTTGTTGACTTTGAAATGCTTGCCCGGGGCTGGTCCACAGCGGCCCCCGGCCCCAGCCTGACGCCCTGGAGGAGGTGCTGCCCTCCACTCTGCCTCTCCTGAGGTGGGAGTTGTCCCGGAGATGATGGGGGACCCTCTGAGGACCCCTGCCCCACCTGCCTTCTACTGGGCCCTGCTGCTGTCCTGCGGGGCCACTTTCCAGCTTACGTGCACGGAGTAGAGCCTCGGAAGCGGCAGGCCTTCACAGCAGCCGGGAAGGATTCGGGCAGACTTCGCTCCTCCTTGGGCCTCAGTGTTCTCACCTGTGACATGGGGAGAGGAACACAGTCCTGTTGCGGGCACGTGGGGGTTCGGTGAGATTTGGGGTCGGGCTGGACTAACTGTAGTGGTGGTGGCATCAGAACTGCTCCCCCGCGGCATCCTCACCGAGAATGAAGCGGGCCGCACCTGCCAGATTGCCACAGACCCCGGCGGGGTGATGCTCGCCCAGCCTGGCCCCGGGGAAAGCTGTTGTCACGGTCATTGGGAACTGGGTGCTGGAAAGGCCAGGGGAGCCGGTGCAGTGGCATCGCACCTTCTTCAGCCGGGACCTCACTCCATGTTGGGCCTGCCTTCCCGGGGAAGCCCATGGCCGCCTGGCTTTGCTGACAGATCTCGAGGGCGGGAGCGGCAGCCGATGGACAGTGGGGACACAGTCAGCACAGCTTGAAGGATGGGCATGGTGGCATTTCCAGCTTTCTGTCCCGGGCAGGAAGGGGATGTGGGTTTGGACGATGGCATGCTGGGGGCCATCCAGCCTGCCCTCCCTGATGGAAGTAGGCCGGGGAACCAGCTTGCAGGAGCAGGCTGTGGCGTGGCTGAGGGTGATTTAGACATGCGGGGAGACCGGGATAATGTAGGAAATGAAGGAAATTTCCCCAGGGAAAGGGGGAAGAGAAGAAAGAGGAGCTTAAGTGCCCAGATAATTATAAAGCCTGGCGTGGTGATTTATGGCGGGCAGGCCGGCTCCTCTGGTCTCCACCTCCCCTCCCATCTCCGTCACTGGTGCCCCCAGAGACCCGCTGGTGGGGGAGGCAGTGAGGCCAGCGGGTGCTGCCCAGCACCCAAGCTCTGTTTTGTGTCCTGGGGACAGAGCCCCTCTGTGTGCCGAGCCCTGATGTCTGCTATCTGGGGCGGCCTCACAGAGCAGTGAAGCTGCCAGCCGGGAGGCCGAGCCCCCCACACAGAGGAGCCCAAGCCAGACAGGCTGGCCCACGAGAAGGGTGACAGGTCAGGGTGGAGGTCGTGCCCTCTCCGTCCTGGTGCCGTGGGGCGTGGGGGCCGGGGCCACGGAGTTGGGCAGAAGCAAGGAGGTGCGTTTCTCTGGCTCCGGAGCCACGTGGCTTTAAAACCAAATGAGGACATAGCTCGCCACCCTGGCCCGGGTGCGAGGGAGGCCGGGGCCGGCCCAGGCAGGCTGCCTGGACAGTGCACCCTTTGAGGCCTAACTGGGCAGCCCCCACTGGGGGAGTCCCTCTGCTGTGACCTCAGCTGTCCCCTGCTCCCCTCTGTAGTTCCCGGGGGATGTCCCCCCGTCACTGACCTGCAGGGTCGTTGTTGGCTCCCCTCCCTGCCACACACAGTCCGTACCCAGGTCCTGCCGCTGCCTGGCGTGTCCCTGTCTTGTGCAGGGACGTGTGACGAGGAACGTGTGACCACCGTGCAGGCCTCTGCCCTGACTTCCACCCTGTGGGGCTCCCATCCAGCTCCAGGCTGGAGCCCAGTCTCCCCTTCCTGGGACTGGAGAGGCTCCCAACAGCCTGCTCTGGCCCCTGCACCTTACCATCCTTCTGCCTCGGTGGACTGCAGCACGGCATCGCCTCCTCCTGGGAGCCCTCCTAGCTCCCCACCTGCCCACCACCCTGTAGTCCCGTAGCTCCGAGCTTGGGCAACCACTTCATGGCTTGTGTCTGCCCTGGGAGATGGAGCGTCCCCAGAAGGAGGGGCCAGAACCACCAGCCTGGCCCAGGCTGGGCTCTTGGGAAACGTTTCATGAATGAACGAAACGGGATCCAGAGGCTGAAACGGAAGAAGGGAAGGCTGGGAACCCGCAGTCAGTACGGTGCCACGAGGCCACTAGGCTGGCCACGGTGCCCGGGGGGCCGAGGCACTCAGAGAAACAAGGGGGCAGAGCTTCCTTTCTTAACCTCCGTCGTTGTGTTTCCTTTCAGGGCTAATGTGAGGGGCTCGTGAGCCCACCTTGTCGGGGACAGTGTGGCAGCGCCGGATGGACTGGATGGGCCGGAGCCCTGAGCACCTGCAGCCCACGGAGGGAGGACTCTAGGTAACTCCAGGCTATGGGAAACCCACAGGTGCTGCTTTGTTGGGGGGCGGGGGCTCATTCGGGAAGATCAGCTGTGAGAGGTGCCCTAGAAGTCACTCAGTGGCTGTGAAAGGTGGACTGTTGGCCCCTCAGGTCCTTGGTGAGTGGCGGCCCACTCTGTTAATCTAGGTCGGACATTTCCAGTTCATGAATTTCTGGCACGGCCCTGTTGCCTGCTGTGGCTTTTGGGGGTCCTCCTCCTCCAGGAAGTCCTCTTGCCTCCTCTCCCTTGGCTGTGAGCTGCCCAGACCCTCTGTAGCACCCACCGCACCCCTCTTCTTTCCTGCCATTCATTGTCACAGGTCTGTGGTGCGTGAGGGCATTGGTGCCCAGACCCTTCCCAGGGCCCTGGTGTCTTTGTCCAGCCAGGGCAGGTCTGAGGCAGCGTCCGTTAAGGCCTTTTATGAAGTGTGTGTCGGGGAGATCACGCTGACTGGTGGGCAGGGGCCTCGGTACCCCCCAGCTGGACGGTTGGCCTGCTGTGTGACCTCAGGCTACTGTCCCCCACTCTCAGCCTCCATTCCGCCACCACCTCGGACATTTGGGGGGGTCTCCAGAAGGTTCCGAGGGGCCAGGTTGGAGCTGCTGCCTTGGGTGTATGAAAGTGCTCCTGGACTCTGAGCCGGGACCCCACTTCTGGGGGACCTCCCCCGGGGAAGGGGAGAGATCTATGCATGAAGCCTCGCTGTGAGAAACGGAGTGGCCGGTCGCTGCCCGGGGTGGGGAGTCTGGGTCAGGTAGCATGTGGGGATGTCATGTGGCCGCTCAGCAGATGTGCCAGTGGAAGCCACTGCCAGGTGGGAACACGCATGTGGGGGCCCCTCTGGGGAGGGGAGTCCGCGCAGCCTGGGCTCAGCAGAGGAGACCTGTTGGCCACCTCTTTCTCCTTTTCTCAGTTGTCCAGATCTTACTGAGTGAGGGGAAAAAACTCATTTAAATCACAAAACTAAGCTGCCCGACCGGAGTGACCCTGACCCACCCAAATTCTCGCTGCACATTCTCCCCCCAAAAGAGACATGTTTAGGGAAAGAGCAGGAAGTTACGGTGAGGGTGGCACCATCACTAGGGTACGTCTGGCCCCTTGAAAAGGAGCAGAGGCAATTTGGGGGGCGGAGGGAAGGCACTGAGAACGGGGAGCATGGAGAGGCCCCTCAAAGCCGATGGTGGTTGCAGTGCCGCGGTGGGACAGGGCCCGCCCTGACGTCTCCCTTCGCACCCTGAGTGTTTGCAGTCTGACGTCTGGAACGGACGCCTGTGGAGAGCGGGACTCTTGTCACACGGGTGCTGGGGCCTGTTCCTTTCCCGTTAGAGGCATCCACATCCCGTGCAGTGCCCGCCGACTTGTTGGAGCTCAAGGTGGGAGTGTGAACGGCCACGCATCTGGCGGGGACTCGCTTTTCTAGACCCAGGTCGGTCACCTGTGTGGCATGGACCACTGCCTGGCGGGAGCCCTGGTGTGTGTGCAGGCCGAGCTGTTGGGGGCTTCACGTTTGTTTGTTCTCCGATGTCAGCTTTGTCCAGTAGCTGTAAATGGTGGTTTTTAAGATGCAAAACCCAGGGCTCCGAGAGGCCAGGCTCCTGCAGGTCACGCAGCCTGGGGGATCCTCCGTGGCCTGGTGGGCCCCGCAGCCCAGGCTCCGCCCCAGGTGCCTGTAGCTCTGCCACTAGATGCCGCGTCCCCGGGGATGTGAGCCTGCCTGTGACCTCACCTGCCGTGGTAGCCATTGGCTCCCCGAGTCCCTGCTGGAGCCATGTTGACCCAAATGAAGCCACAGAGCTGCACCCCTCTCTTGTGCATCTGGCCGACTCTGGCAGAAGGGTGTGGATGCCCACAAGCTCACAGCCTACTTCTTTTTTTTAAGTTTTTATTTATTCATTCATGAGACACAGGCAGAGGGAGAAGCAGGCGCCCTGCGTGGAGCCCGATGCAGGACTTGATCCTGGGATCATGCCCTGAGCCGGAGGCAGACGCTAAACCTCTGAGCCACCCAGGCGTCCCTTGCAGCCTACTTCTGATGCCTCCCAACTTGCCTTGAGTATCTGAGGCATTGGGAATCAGATGTGGCATGACCCCAGGACCAGGCCTCAGTCCTCCGCAGGGCGTTTCTGCACATAAATCGAGGGTGTGCTCCGTGCATGACTCATTAGCAACTAGCCCTTGCAGGGAGGATGTTTCTCTTACACGTGACCTTGGAGGGGCCCAATTTAATCTCAAAGAGAAGTATGGACGAGGCAGGCTGAGCCCCCTGGGGGTCCGTGCTCCTGTGGCTCGGGGCCCTGCAGCATGGCCCACATCAAGGTTCCTGCTGGGGGCTCAGAGCTCCTGCTCCACGGTGTCCACTCAGGACCCACGCCCCAGGCAACTTGGTCCCTGGTAAAATAAGAAATCAAGAAGGAGTTTCTCCAATATAAAGACCCAGAGCAAGTTCGCACATGTCCTTGAAGCACCCAGGGGGACAGTAGCAGTGGGCATGCAGTCCAGTGAGCCCCGTTGGGCCTGGGCATGGAGCAGGTATTGTCCCTAATCTTGCTTGAGTTCGAAGAGGTATGTGTCATTGTCCCTAACAGGTGGGGAGCCTGAGGCCCAGAGAGGTGAAGGGGCTTGTGCAGAGCTGGAAGGGGCCCCTGGGCTACCCTGCAGATACTCAGGAATGTTCTGGAGACCGGGACATGGGCATGGGCAAGGAGGGGACCAGGGTGGGCGGGGATGGACCTCTGAGACATCCTGCTGGGGCCCGGTGTTGGTTCTGACCAGTCAGGCACCACCCTCATTGTGCCACAGTCCTTCCAGAGGCCAGAACTGTGTGGGAAAAAAGCTGCCGACCCCGTCATCCAAGTGACCATCCCACAGGGCACAGGCTCTGAGAGGGGACGGGCCCCTGTGCCAGGCCCCGGGTGGTTCTAGGCCCCCTCGGTGGGCAGCGATGGTAGGCATCCTTGTGAGCCAGGCCTGGGCGTGGGGCTTCTACTTCTGTCAGCGGCGGTGCCACAGCTCTAGGAGGTGGGCGGGCTCTTGCACGGCGCGGGTGGAAACTGCAAGAGAGGGCGATCTTGTGCCCAGAGCCGCCTAGCATGCAGAGCCAGTGGGTCTGCACCATCCCTGTGCTTCCCCCAACCTGCCTCGTGACTTCTGGGACTTGGGGGCCCAAGTCCATTACTGGCCCTGAGACAGGCGGGGGCCCCACCACACACCATGTGGGCTGGTCTGTTGAGGGAGGACAGGTGGACACGTAGCCTGGCTGTTCTGGGCCGTCGTTGGGAGAGTGGGTGCAAGGATATGGGGGTAGCAGAAGGCCCCGGGGGAGAGCATTCTCAGCGCTGCTCTGAAGTTGGAAGGGGCACCCAGCCTTCGCATCACCCGCCCCGGGCAGCTGTCCTTGAGAGGTTTCCATCCGTGGCCACGTGTGGCTCCCGTGTCCTATGGGGATTGGGCGCGGATCCCAGAGCCAAACCTGCTCCCGAAGCTGGAGCTCTGCTCACCCATCAGGACGTCAGGACAGAATTTTTCCACACCCCTCGTGTGTCCAGAGCAGGTGTGGGGTGGCCACGTCTTGTCTTCATCTCCCCCAGCCCCCCAGAAGCCTGCCTTCTGCTCCTAACAGCAGCTAGTTACATTGCATTGAGCTGTTGGCAAAAAGGAGGGCTCCCTTGGCTGCTGGGCCTGTGGGCACCACAGTGTGACGCCCATGGTAGCCGCCCTTGGTGAGCCCCAACCGGGCCGAGCTCACAGTCCAGAGGAGTGGGTGCGTGCTTCTTTGGGGTGCTCCTTTCCTGGGCAGGCCCCGGTGTGCTGTCCCATCAACTCCAGGTGAGGGCATCGGAGACGCCCTCACTCAGGGGACTTCCTGACCTGCCCATCCTACGGGCTCAGGCAGATGGGCCTGGGGTCATTAAACACCCGTGCACGCCGGGGCTCTATCGTGCTGGGAGGAGAGGCGGGGGGCAGGGGCAGGGGCGTCCCAGCGGGCCAGGCCAGGGCTGTGCTACCTTGGGGCAGTCCCTTCTCGGCAGTGCTTCCCTCCTATAAAATGAGGTGGTGAGGTGCTCCAGCCCAGAAGCCCCGTCCTGCAGCTAGGGAGTCTAAGGGTGAGAGAGGCTCTAGGCAGTGAGAGGGGAAGCAGAATTAGAACCCAGCACTATGTGACTCGGGGCCCTGAGTCCACACTGTGTACAGACAGCACGTCGGGCTCACATTCCTGTAGGCCCCCATCTTCAGGGGTGTTGTTGCGGTTCCACCCAGCATTTGGGGGCTGGGAGTCCAAGCACATCCGGGGACCTACCAGTAGGTCCCCTCCTGCCTCCGGGCCCTTTTGAGCCCCAGGCAGAGGCCTGACAGGGAGGGCTGCGAGCCAGCCGGTGACAACTGGGTGACTCAGCGCCGGGGACTCCTGCTCCGGGTGGGACCTGCTCGGGTGACTGGTCCGGGGAAGGTTGCTTTCCTGACCCAGCCTGCTTGCCCCTGGGGATCTGCGGGAGCCTTCCACCTTGCATGGGTGTAGTCAGGACCCTGGGGGCGCTCACAGACGGTGCGGAAGGGGAGCCTCAGTGCCTTCCTCCCAGCCACCCGTTCCCACTCAGCCTGGGCCAGAGGCAGAGTGGGTCCCGCTGCAGCCCAGCCTGGTTCCTCTCTGCGGTGAGTCAGGCCTGGGTCCGGGTCTGCCTTTCTGTCCTCACGCGCAGGGAGCCAGTCCTGCTTTGGGGAAGCCTGGACCCCAGATGCAAGCCTGAGCCGGAGGCAGGGCAGGAGCAAGAGCCCCGCCTGGGAGTCACCAGGCAGACGCCGTCAGGACCTCAGAGCCTGGTGTTCCCGCTCCGTCGGTCCCGGGCTGTTCTCTTGCTGGCTCATTGGGAAAAGACCCGGAGTCCTGTCTAGAGACATTGTTCCAATAGTGGGGGGGGGGCGCTTCCCCGTCATCCTGGGTGCCTCCTGGGTGCCGGGCACTGTGCTAGGCTATGGTGCACGCAGCTGCGTAGGACCTGGTCACTGCTGCTGCCGAGCTGCCAGCCTTGGTGGGGACAGGCAGCATAAGAATTCATGAGCTAATTTCAGGGGACCCCCAGCCTGGCTACCACCAGAGCGGGGGAGGTCTGTGACCCAGGCAGCATCTCTGGAAGAGGGACCTAAAGGATGGGTAGGAACGAGGCCTTTGACAGCAGGAGGACATTCTGGGCCCAGGGAAGGTTAGGAGCCAATGTGGGTCTGGAGCTAGGGGGTTGGCACCAGGTGCCACACGCCGTCAGCTCCCTTCCCCTGCAGACACTGGAGATGTGCATGGCTGGGCTGCAAGGAAGCCAGTGGTTGGGGTTTGGTTTCGGGTGGGAGTCCAGGTCAGGGCTGGGAGGAGGGCGGTCAGACGAGGCTTTCCTTGGTTCTGTAACCTCTGGGCACCTGGGTGCCTTGCCTGCAGTGAGTGGTGGGCTGGGCCCATCTGCAGGTGGTTGTGCAGGGTGAATGAGAGGCAGGGGAGGGTCACAGCGAGCCCCCTTCCCTCCCAAGGCCATGTGCCAGCAGGCCTGTGCCGCTGACTCCTTGGTCACCTTGTGTCTTCCAGAACGTGAGCCCTCCCAGACCACTCCCAAGGAGCCAGAACCCATCGTGGACTTCGGGAGACACTCCAGGACCGCCTAGCCCAGGTAGATGGTCTTTGCCCTGGGCCAGGGCAGGAAGGCAGCCCGGGAGGTGGGCGGCATGCCCAGGAAGGGAACACAAGCCCATCTTTCAAAAGAGCCCAGCACCAGCCCTGCAGACCCCAGTCTGCAGCCAGGCCCACCCTGCCCAGAGTTCCTGAGGGATTAGCCTGGCCCTGGGCAGGTGAATGAGACCCTGCTCCAGGACCAGGAGTGAGGAGCAGAGCCAAGGATTCCCTGGCCTGTTGTGTGCCATCGCCTCTCAGTGCGTCCTCTGTCTGCCCTGCGGCCTGAGTGCTCTGATTCGCCCCCTCCAAGCAGATGGAATCAGGGAGGGCCGAGTTTGGCACAGAGACTCTCCTGAGCGAGCTCTGGGTCATTGCCACCTGCGGTGGTGCCAAGGGATGGGCACGCCCAGCCCCCCAGCTGTGAGCCGTCCTGGGCAGGCTCCTACAGAGCCTCGGTCTGCTCGTCTGTAAGGCTGGGGTGGCAGTTCCTCCTGGGGGAGTGTTGGGGACACACAATAAATCCCAGAGCATTCGTAGCTTCACTGAGAGGGCCAGGGGACGGGACACAAGTCTTGCAAACGGTGGGCACCCAGGAAGCACAGTGGTTTATGCTTCACTGAAAGGCAGGAGACCCTCCCGGTGTCTGGCCACCGTGGTGCTTTTCTGGCCCCTCCCTCTGCCGAGCTCAGCACGGTCCAGTTCCCTACATTCGTTATTTCGGATTTACGTGTGCTGGTGCTAATAAGTGAGATGAGATGGTGGGTCGAGGCAGAGTGGGGGCTTGTGTGGCCAGGGGCCTAGTTGACTGCATCTCTGAGGCAGCGAGGAGAGGCTCCGTATCCCAGGAACCCAGGCCTGCTACGGCCACGGGTTAGTTTCACGACCTTGGGGAGACACCCAAGTAGGGGGAGGTCTGCACCCTGATCTGAAGATGTGAGCAGCTCTGTGTGGGGGTCATGGTCCATTTGCACAACAGGGTGGGGAGCCTCCTGCCCATAGCAGGTGCCCTGTGGGGCAGCAGAGCCCGAGGCTCTCTGTCCGTGCCTCTTGCAGTGTCCAAGGACAGCACCTCCATTGCCGGGGTCAGCTTGGGGGCAGCCAACCCTGAGGGCTCACGGGAATGCCCACATCAGGGCAGGGGACAAAGCCGCAGTTTCCAGGTCAGACCTCCTCGGTCGCAGACCTACCTGGCCTTCGCTGCTGTGTGGTCTTGGGGAAACCATGGCCTCTCCCTGGGATTCTGTTTTTGCATTTGCAAAAGAGGCATCCTGACCTCTTCCTGTGTGCCTTGCCCCCCGCCAGGTACCAGTAGGAGCAGAAGAGGGAGCCTCTTCTGGCCAAGAAGTGGGGGTTCTGGCTTTAGGATCAGTCCTAACCCACTACTTGCAAGATGAAGCGTACACACATAGCCCCCACTGATCATATGGGTGGACAGGGGACCGAGATGTTAGATATTATGTTCCTGTTCTGTCATATAAATAAATAAATAAATAAATAATAAATAAATAAATACACACAAATATGAAAATACGTATATCTCTGTTAGAGTTTAGAGCAATATAGACAATGCAGAAAATAAAAATAAACAGGAAATTAGGGCAAAGGGAAAATTGAAGGTAGCCCTAAAAGAAGCCATGTCACATAGAAGTCTCGGGTTGCTGGTGAAGACCTGTGAATTCAGAGCTGAGCGTCCTAGCAGTCCAAGCAAAGAGGGAAAGACTGTCCTTTGCAGGAAGTAGTGTTCAGGGAGCACCATCTGCAACGGTCATGCCAGGGATGCTGAGAGAGCCGCCTGGTGCCTACGCTCCCCGACACCCTGAGGCCCTGGGTGAGGGCAGGGGGTGGGGAGGGTGCGCTCTCACACTCAGCACAACTGTGTTTCTTTCATCTTCCTGAATGCCTCCCACACTGCCTCATCTGATTCTCCCCAACCCTAAATGCCTTGGTTGGGAGAGAGGCAGCGAGGGGCCCCAGCCTAGCCATCAGGCCTCGCCGAGTCTGATTTTGAACCAGTGTCTCTCTGGCTCCGGGTCCTGCCGCTACACTTGCCGCCAGCTGCGGCCCCCTGGGGATGGATGCCCCCAGAAAACTGGGGTGTGTCCTTGCCAGTGTTTTGGGCGTGAAGTCACACCGATGCAGCAGCTTCATGGCCCTTGGGGTCCTTGCAGTGGCCTCCCAGGGTCTCAGGGCAGGGTGGGCGGGTGCTGCATGCCCGCGCAGTTGGGGTCTCCTTCCTGAGACCCGGTGTCTCTCTCTCTCTCTCTCTCTGTCTCTCCTTCCAGGACTCATACCTCCTTCCAGCCACCCTGTTCTGCAGCGGAGCCCTGAAGCTCAGACGACCGTGCCTCCCTCAGGTCAGTGCAGCATTTCTAATCTTGCAAATCAGGGCTCCCCGCTCCCTCCCCAGGTACCGCCCTGGGGATGGGACACGCACATGCACACACCCACGGGGCTTGCAGAGCACGGAGGAACCAGCTGGGCAATGCCCGCACATTTGCACAGGCTCCGCTAGGTCTGCTACAGCCTCGGCCCTGACCTGCCTCCAGCCTCTTTCTGTAGCTGAGGGACCAGGTTCTGCCAGAAGTCAGGGACTTGCCCAGGTCTCTTACCCCAGGAAGCTGGACTCAGGCCCGTGTTTGTGGCTCCCTTCTGTACAGAAGTTGCGTGAAGCGCCTTTTGCAAGGAGCCATCTGTCTCGGGAGTCCACGGTGGGAGAGCTCGGGCCAGCTGTTGGGGACTGCTCGGGAGTGTCTTCGGAGTGCACAGAGCTCAGGGGCTCAGCAGGTGAGAAGGCCCTTGGCTTGCCACTCCCTCTCCCGACAGCCCCATGGCCCTAATGGCAGCCTGTTGTGCTCGGAGCCCCCTGCACACACCCTGCTCCTCCCCTGAGAGCCCGGTGCCCCATGCAGGTGGCTGGGCCCACTTGGCTGATGCTAGGTGTCTGTGGAGTCGGTGGGGCCATGTGAGCCAGACAGGCATCCCCTCCCCTCCCCTCCCCCGCTGTTGCCATGGCCAGGGCAGACCTGCCCCCCAGGTCCATGTGGAGAGGACCCCAGGCTGTTGCGTCTGGGCTCAGGAGCCCTCTGCCATCTGGGCCTCATGTGTTTACAGGTCCAGCTTGCCCGCAAGACTCTGCAGATGCTGCCTCCAGGGCTTTTGTGTCTGCACGCAGAGCCTGCGCCAGCCGGTGCCCAGGGTGGGGGTGGAACTCGGGTGGGGAGAGGGGGAGGCCCACAGAGGCCATGGGACACAGGGAAAAGGGGACCCAGGACGGGTAACAGAGGAAGGGGAAGAACAGAGGGGAGGCAGAGAAAGCAGGGCAGGGTACGGCACGGGTAAGAGACGACATTGAGCAGAGGGCCAAGGAGCTTGGAGGTATTGTCACTGGGGAAATGGACCTGAGGGTGCAGCTGGTCCCAGATGTCCCCAGGGCCCGCGGGGCTCTGCCCAAAGCCATCTAGTCTAAGTGCTTTCCTGGGAGTCCATTGTGAAATCCCCCAACGCCCCCGGAGGTACGCCCTCCTGCAGGGCAGGCACCAGTATGTGCAGCTGGGTTCTGCCTCCAAGCCCTGAGAGGAGGCCACAGGGGTGCGTCCCCAGGAACGCGTGGGGGTCCAAGGAGGCAGGGCCAGCCCACCTGGGGTGTTAGAAGGGTTCTGGGGCCAGGGGAACGGGGTCCGTGCATAGCCGCCGAGGCCCAGGATAGGTGGGGAATTGCCTGGGTGGAGGACAGGCCTGGGGGTGGGGGGACTCTCCCAGGGCAGGACCCGTATTCCCCATACCGTGCGGTGGACAGAAGACAAGGCCAGTGCATGCAGTAGGCGCTTACTCTGTCCTCAGGCAGCAGGATGACCGTACAGCCCAGTCGCCACAGGGGTGAGAACATGCTCAGGGCCAGAGGGGAGGACCACCCCTCCTGCGTGCACACATGCCCTCCTGCGGCCCAGCGCGACCAGCAAGGTGCAGCCAAGCGTCTCCATTCTGTGCAGCCAGAAACGGAGGCCAGGGGCCGTGAAGAGCTTGACTCTGGCCTCATCTGTGGTCCCGGAGGGTCATCGGGATGATGGAGCCCCTTCGGGATGCTGAGCTGGGAGATGCCAGAGGTTTATGGGGAGCAGTGACTCGGTTGGTGGGATTTGTGTCTGAACTGACTCAGTATCGTTGTCCTAGAAGTCGGCCCAGATGTGGCCCGGGGTGGGGAGAGGTCTGCACAGGGGAGGCTCCCTCCATCTCTGGGGCCTTGGCCGTGCTAAGCCCCTTCTGCCTCCCCCATGCCCGGTAGGACAGGAGCCGCGCACCTCTGCTCAGCGCCCAGTGGCAGCTGGTTCTCTGAAGGGATGTGGCCCCGCCGTCCCCAGCACCCCAGGTTCCTGTGGACAGACGGTGTGGACAGACAGGCTGCCCTGTTCCTCAGAGGTTGGTGTGGACAGGCCTGACGCCCCACGGCAGAGCCACTGCTCCGAGGCTGACCCGTGTGTGGTGCCCACGGCCGAGGAGGGCAGCAGTTCATTCTAATGCCCGGTGGCCAGATAGCACAGCCTTTATTTACCAGATAGAAATTAGGGCCTTAAGAACGCTTTGCACTCGGTCTTTTTGTCCCAGTGAGAATGTTGACAAGATGCGGAATGATGGGCATCGCTCAGTGCTTGCTTGCCGAGTCTGAGCAGCGCTCTGGCTGGGGATGGTTAATGCTGAAACGTGCGGGGAGAGGCGCCGGGCGAACCCTCTCGGGCCGGTGGCAAGGAGGGCCTGCCCTGCCAGCTGCCCCCCGACACAGCCACCTTCGATTTGGTGCCTGTCAGTGTGCCAGGCCCTGAGCCCGATGCCCCTCCTCTAAGAGCCATCGCTGTGCTGACGGCCCTGCTGGGTGGGTGCCCCAGGGGCGCATATGCTCTGGGAGGTCAAGGGACGGCGGGACCGGGGCCTGGCCCCAGCCAGCTCAGGTGCAGAAATGCGTCTGGGATCCAGGAGCAGGTGGCCTTTCTGCCATGTTGGGCTGCTGGGTCCTAAAAGGCAGCCTCGGGGGGGGAGGGGACGGGGAGGCTGGGGACGGGGCCTCCAGCTCAGGGCCTCCATGGAACAGTGCCCGGGGTGGGCCAGAGGGTTTGTGAGGAGTCTTCTCGCTGGAATGAAACCAAGAGGCTCCCAGACCGGTGGGGCTGGCAGTGCTTGGGGCTGCCATCTGTGCTGCCCTGGGTTCCCTCCCCTGTCTGCGCTCAGCTGGACACTTGGCCTCGGGCATCTCCCCGGTTGGAGGCCTTGTTCCCCACTGACCGTGGAGCTGGAGGGTCAGCAGACCAGCTCTGGGTGGGGAAGCGCGGGCTCCCGTCGGCTCCAGCACGCCTGGATCCGAGCTGCTCTTGTCCGAGAACACGAGTCCACCTTGCCTGGCTGGCCTTGGAGACCCGGGGGACCCAGAACAGCCTTGCTGTCACCTCGAGGAAGAGAGAGGGAAGGTCTCTGATGTGGGGCTTGCCTGGGTCACCTAGCACAGAGGGGTCCGGCCCTTAGCAGCCGAGTGACCTGGCTCAGTAAATGGAGACGTCTGTGGGTTTCTGTTCCCTTGTGCCTGGAGCACAGGACAGGATGACGGCTGTCTTGGCTGTGTGTGGGGGAGAGTAACTTAGCCTCTCTGTGGTTGTTCATGCTCTGCAGGTCTGGCCGTAATGGGGACTGACTGGCGCTCAGCACGGTGGGCTCGGGCTGGTGCCCGGCACGTGATCGGTGCAGGCTGTTTGCATTTGCCCCATTTCCAATAGGAAGCATATGCCCTGGCAGTGGTATGCACGTTTGCAGCCATCTCGGGCAAGTGGGAACTTGAACCAGGGCAGTGAGGCCTTCTCATCCCCTTGGGGTAGCTCCCGAGGAGAACCTGCCCCGGGGAGCGGTCCTCAGTGAGGACAGCACCTTGTCACGTTCAGCCGGTTGTCAGGACAGCTGTGGTCACACAAGCAAGAGGGACCGTGGCACCTGCCCTCCAGACCACATGCGTCCCCACGGCAGCACCCAGCCTGCAGGAAGGGCTGGGCTTCCCTCCCGATCCCACTCTCTCCTGTAACTTGACGTGGGCCTGGGCTCTCCCTGGACCCAGTGCCCTTCAGGAGCTGCGCACGGGCCTCGGCCAGAGCCAGGCCCCAACGACTCCCTGGTTTCAGTCTGCTGGTCTGTAAAGTGGGATTGGTTCAACCTCGGGTTTTCACTGGGCGCAGGCGGGGAGGGGCGGCCTGTGGCTGGACCCGAGGCCCCCAGAGCAGTCCTGCTGGTCGCTGCCGCACGTCTGGGGTTCTGAGTGAGACCAAAGATGTGGAGACCACGGGCAGGGCAGAGTCAGAGAGACATGGGCTCTTGGTGCCTCCCGGTTGCCGAGCACGCTGTGCTCCAGGGAGGCTTCTGGTCCGGCAGGTGTTTGCTGGGGCAGCTCCTTGTGTCCCCAGAAGGACACAGACCAGGGGTGGGCTGTCACCCAGCAGATGCAGAACAGGGCCCTTGAGGCTTGAGACGTGGCCGGCTCGGGGCCCCCATCAGGCAGGGCCTCTGGTGCAACAGGAGCTCAGGAAGGGGTGCAGCCCCGCGTCCCTGGAGCCGGCCTGCCCGGTGTCCTCTGGCACTGCCCTGGCATGGCCGGTCCTGCCAGCTGTCCGTGCGCCTGCCGGCGGCGGGTGGGGACAGGCTGCCAGCCCGGCCCGCAGGCTGGATGTGCTGGGATGTCCCTGGAATGCAGGGCAGCCCTCGGGCCATCTGCTCAGGGGCCACCCCGCCGGCGGCCGGTGAAGACCGCCCTTTGAGGGTCTGGGGCACAGGAGGATTTTCGTCCTGCAGGCGCCTCCGTTCAGCCCTGCGTCCCCTCGAGTGTGGCCACCGCCCTGGGCGGGAGGTCATCCCCAGGACCCCCCGGGGTCCCCCAAGGGGTGAGGGAGCTCGGGGGGCGGGGGCAGGAGGCAGGCTCCGGAGAGGGCACTGCCGCCCGCCTCTGGCCAGGCCCTCCCGGACTTCCGCGCCCGGCGGGAGGCCGCGCTTCAGGAGTGGACGGTCCTCCTTCCCGCCCCGCCGCAGCGGCCTTTGTCTTTCCGGGCTGCACAAAATGGCCGCGGCAGCCCTCCGCCATTTTGTGTGAGGCCGGCGGGCGGCGGCGGGCGGCGGGAGGAGGGAGACCACTGCCCGCCCGGCTGCCCCGAGTGGCCTGGACGGAGCCCAGCAGCGGCCCCCGCCCCAGCCCGGCCTTGGCTGCGGCCGCCCTGGGCTTGGCACCGGCGCGTCTTGGCAAGGCAGCCGGGAACCCCGGCCCTTCACCCGGCCCGGCCCCCTCGCCGCCCCCCGGGCTTCCCTGCCGAGCAGACAGAGGTGCTGCGAGCAGAGCCCAGAGGAGCTGTAATTAAAGCCATGCTCCTGGAGGGA